CCCCACTTAGCTTCGGCTAAGTCTTTACGGCACGCGGAAGTCCGAGGATTTCCATTCCTTCCTCCCTTACATAATAGGCATGATAACTACCATCGCCTTAGTACTGCTAGGAATCCATCATTAGCCCACTCCAAATACCATACGATTACCGAATACTAGATGAACACTTCCTGCATAACCGATACTGATAGTCCCTTGAGCTCAAACTGACGTCCTTAAGGTCCGAATAACTAATGCTCAAAACAACCTCTTTAGTGATAGACCACTTCCCTTGATGCTTCCAAAAGCTATCCCAAGCACCAAGATTAGAACCACCAAACCCTGATGATGGCGGAGGACTACTCCATGGACCCTGCCCACCGACCTCCACATAACGCTCCTGAACAGTTTTCGGTTGCAACCGAGATAATACTAGATACTTCAAACCCGAAGTGAGAGATGACCTTACACTAGCTACTAATAGTTCATGGTATGCAATTGGCATATGACAATTCTAAAAATACAATCCGAATACAAGAAAAGAGACAACTCATACATACTATCACCTGAGTTCGGGGTAAGAACAATCCTAATACATATAGAATCAAAAATAGTCATTGATACATACATGCAACATTCCCTACTGTAATGTGACACCAGTCAAATTTTGGTCAAAAATAAATTGATCAATAATCGTAATTGGGATGAACCAAGTGGTAGATATTGTAACAAGGTTTCCAAAAATATAAAGAGCACTGAAATCCGAGTTATAACAAAGAAGTTATGACCAATCGAAAATTTGCGATAAAACTGGCAAAACACTGTTCAGTGTAAAAAGTGAATTTTTGATAAAAGGCCTTTTAGCCTTAACAATCTAAATAAAAGTTGTAGAATATGTTAAACCGAGAATGTTCATAAAAAGAACATCAAAATCTGACTTCATATGAGGAAGTTATGATTTTTCGAAGTTTCGGTTTAGCAGTAGACAGCTAAAAATTCGAAATATAAATCGATCGATATTTAGCCGACGCAACTTAAACGAGAATCTAAGGTCTCGTCAAAAGTAGCACAACGGTAAAAAGACAGACGAAAACGGACGTCAGATGAAGAAGTTATGAAATTTTAACGGATTTTCCTGTCCCGGTCTGTTAAAAATAATAATATTAAAAATAAATTCAAAATTAGCCGACGAAGTCTAAACAAAAGTCGTAGAGTATAACTTTACCTATGCGTGCATATAAAAAACGTCAAAAACGGAGTTCGTATGCAAAAGTTATGAATTTTAGAAGTTTTTGGCACAAAAATCAAGAAAATATTGAAAACCGAGAAATTTCACTGAGTCACACCTCGGACACATCACCTCGCATGCGAGGCCTCCACGTGTCATCCTCTGGTTCAACCGAAGTTCACCGTGTCACCATCTGATTGGACCAAGACCGAGGTCCAATAGGCAGCCGACAACCCTCACAGGAGACACCCCTCTGATCCTCGTGGCAGCTTCTGATTGGACCGAAGTTTGGCCCAGTAGCGATCCAACGCGCCCCTTGCCTCGCTGTCTCGCATCCAGACTTTGCACTCGTGGCCTTCGCTCCTTCCAACGCGTGCGCTGCTGACTCCTCGCCCTCGCCACCTGTCCCACTTCGTACCGCACCCTCGCACCCCTATATAAAGGGTGCGAGACTTCTCGGATTCGAGAGGTTTTTCACCCCAAATTTCACCATTTTTCACCTTTTCACCCTCTCGACTTTCTCACGACCCCCGAAGGCCCCAGTATCACGTCTAAAGCCCGAAGCAAGCCCCGGAGCCCCAGAATTCTCGAGAATTCATCCTCTCTCCTGTCGAAACTCTGCCCGATTTAAGCTGGTTTTTCGTCAAACAAACTATTTTCCGGGAAACAAAACGCTGCCCGAATTACCACCTATCAAGGTGAGTTCATACCCCTATAATTTACCTTTTTAATGGTTTTTAAATGCTTTTTAGGGGGGAATACAAGTTTAACACAATATTAAATTGTGTTAATAACTGTATGTGATAATAATCATGCAAATAGTTTCCGTATGCTTTCAAGAATTATCAAATACATCCAAAATGACTTAAAGCCATGTTAAATCTTTAAAGTCATGTAAACTCCGTTAAATCTTTGAAAAATGTTTTATAAACTATTTCAAATTATAAATGCCAAAAATCATGTTTATATATGTATAAATATATAAATAAGATTTGAAGGAGTTAGGACTAATGAATTATCTTATTTCCTTTTCCTTGTTCAGATGTGGAGTTAAGGTTGTGTTATTTGTCTGAAGGTCATTTCCTTCTTAATTATATATATAATATGCATATACTAGTATAAAAAGGTCACCCGTTTTGGTATCATTACCTATGTATCAGGCTGAGCAAAGGTGTTCATCCATGAGAAATCATGTTAACCAGATAGAACATATAAATTATAATAGGTATAATTTATGATTCAAAACTAAATATACAAGTATGATTCACATTCCAAGGAAAGTACCAAAACTTATTTAACTATACCAGGATAGGTATAATGCCTTTAATATACGAATAACATATTAAAGAAGTAAAGATACATCATATCGGGTTTGCATTAACAAAGGTACGATACAAAGTACCCAGGTTAGCAATCACGGGGTAATAATACATCATACAGGGTTTGCATTAACAAAGGTACGATACAAAGTACTAGGGTTAGCAATCACAGGGTAACAATACATCATACCTGGTTTGCATTAACAAAGGTACGATATAGAGTACCAGGGTTAGCAATCACGAGGTAATAATACATCATACAGGGTTTGCATTAACAAAGGTACGATACAGAGTACCAGGGTTAGCAATCACAGGGTAATAATACATCATATCGGGTTTGAATTAAAAAAGGTACGATACAGAGTACCAGGGTTAGCAATCACGGGGTAATAATACATCGTAAATCTCGTTGAAACAATAAATTTGTGAGATCCTTCACGGTGTACTTATCTAAGTACGACTTTAAGTCCTGACCTATTAACCAGAATCTCTTGTAGGGAGAGCGTGAATTTGTGTATAGATCTATATGGGACTGACAATCCCGCACCTCTACTGTTTGCTACTGTTTGGCTGGCAGGCCTAGAGTGTCAAATATCATTCCATTCCGATGCCTGAAAAACGTCGCTGCAGGCATATCAGTCATATTAGTATGGTTAATAGAACTCAAATGGATAAAACAATGAGTGAATTACTAAGCAATATACTTCTCTTAAAACAGTAAGAAAAGATAATTACATCCCGACCAAATATACCTTCTGTAGTTTTTTACTTACAGTAAAAACTACGTATCATGAAATCAAGTATGGTAAATATACTTGTACTTCTGTTTTTGAACATTTAAAACCACAAGGCAGTATTATGGATAATATAATATTTTCCAGGATTAATACTAAGGTTTTTACCATAGTACATATATAACTAAGAATACTTTTACAAATGAAACGGTTTATGGAATTAAACCACTCTTTCAAAAGAAATGGGTTATGGGATTTAACCACTCATACAAAGGAAACGGGTTATGGGATTTAACCACTTATACAAAGGAAACGGGTTATGGGATTTAACCACTTACACAAAGGAAACGGTTTATGGGATTAAACCACTTTTACAAATGGAACGGTTATGGGATTAAACGACTTTTACAAATAAAATGGGTTATGGAATTAAACCACTTATCAAATGGAAGTTAGTCAATCAATCTCTGTAAACTAGTATAACATAAAAGACCTATAGTGGTTAATTCTGTAAGTCCTTAGTTATTACATCAGAGTTGTTTAGGGACTTCTAGAATATGTGAAAGATCCTTCCACATGTTGAACATAGGTAGTGTGCACGACACATTTATGTTAACTTCATGAAGAGCCATACAAGTTTAGAGTTGCAAAATTTGTTCCGCGATGCTGCAACTAGTTTACATGAAGGGGATTTTGTGGCTATCATGGAAAAATTAATAAAATCACACCAAATGGATATGCGTGGTTGATGTCTAACAATCCAAATCATGGTGTAGGGCATTTTTGCATAAGGGTATGCATGAGAGGTAGTTGAAAATGGAATTTATGAGTCCTTCAACTCCATGATCATATATATTAGGAAAAAAACCACTTCTAACAATGTTAGAGGAAATCATAATCTATTTCATGACTAGGTTTTACTATTTGGATGATAAAGCTTCTACATGGACAACTGAATCTTGTCCAGCTATCATAGAGAAAATGAAGGAGTTTGGAAAAGATATGAAGTCAATACTTACCATTAAGTTGTTACTACTTACCATTAAGTTGTGCTTTGTACTTAACATTAAATTATAATTTATAATTTTTATTTATAGGAACTAGAAAGTGATAGCTATTGGAGGGTCTGTATTTGAGACAAAGTGTGGATATGCAACTTACAAAGTGGATTTGGAACAACACTTTTGCACATGTAGACTATGGGAGATATCTGGCATACCATGTGTGCACGGTCAAGTAGCAATAAACTACACTCACATGAATCCAATTGGTTTTCTAAGCATCTGGTTCCAAAAAGAGAAATTTAAGGTTGGATATACCACAAATATATCACCATTAAATGGAAGCAACATGTAGGCACCCACTGACTATATATAGCAATTAACTCCATTGACAAGGAGAATACCTGTTAGGATGAAAACCAAAAGAAGAAGTCGTGTGTCTGAGGTTAATGATTCCAAGTTCCCAACTATCAGAGCTAGAGTTTGTAGGATTGTTAGGTGTAGCAGATGTTTGCAATTGGGATATAACTTGAAATCCTATAAAAATGAGCAAGTGATGAGAGACTATGTGCCATCTAAAAAAATTGAAAGGCCATGGAAGGATATAAATGGTGTACCAACCAAGGATGGAGAGTGAACTTCAAAATAAAGGAAACTTAAGCTTATAGTGAAAAGAAAGAAGAATAGAAACAAGGATGTAGAAGGATCCTCAAATCAAGCAACTGTTGAAGCAAGTACAATGGCTGAAAATGTTCAAGCAACTGTTGAAGATGATGTTCAAGCAAGTGAAAATGCAACTGCAGATGTTGCTATTCAGGAAACTGCACAAGAAAGTGTAAGTATTGAAGCAACTACATATGATGCTATTCAGGAAACTATACAAGAAGGTGTAGGTATTGAAGAAATTGCATATGATGCTATTCAGGGAACTATTCCAGAAAGTGTAGGTATTGATGAAACTGTAGATGATGTTATTCAGGAACCTGTACCAGAAAGTGTAGGTATTGAAGCAACTGCAAATGCTGCTATTTAGGAAACTGTACAAGAGGATAATCATTATTTGGAAACCTTAGATGAAATATTTTAGGAGCCCCCCCCCCCACCTCCCTTCCCAGAAAATGAGTCAAACCTCCAATCATTGTTTACAATGATGATGTATTGATGTTGCAGAAATGTGGTTATGAACCTCATGAGAATGCACATGCTTTGGAAAGGGTAAATGTGATGCCTGACCCTGTGTCACCAGTGGAAATGGTATGCCAAACTCTATTTTTATTTTCTTATAAATGCCTCATTTGTGTTTAAATTCATAAATGCAACGTATGGTACAAGATGTAAATGTTAATGAGACTGAAGATCACTTGGAAGCATACTTAGAAGAGGATGTTAATGAGATTGAAGATGACTTGGAAACAACATGCCAACCTTTACTTTAAATTCCTTATAATTAATATGTGATTTAAAAAAGGGTAATTAACTGCATCATCTGTTACAGGTTGCAGATGTTAATAAGATTGAAGATCACTTGGAAGCATAATTAGAATGGGATGTGATACTTGACCTTATGCCACCAGTGCAAGGGGAAGTTGTTATACAATATTTAGATGGTAATGCTTGGGTTAGTGAAGATGATGAGGAAAATGATAGGGAGAATGACTTCATTGAATATACACAAGTTTTTGGGAGGCTTGGGAAAAGGAAGTTTTATGAGAGAATTGTGAAGATCTAGCTGAAGAAAGCAGATTATGATAAGGATGGAAGAGTTTCTAGTATCGAGAAACCAATTAATTTAGAGTATGAGTATTTAGGAGGGGGTATCATGGTCACTATGTATAGTTCTTTCCCTTTTTGTTAACATTGTGTCAGCTTTTGGTAACGACCATCCAATTGTATATCAACATCTAGTATTCAGTTGGTCCGTTTTGAATATTGGTAGGTAATGGACATTTGGAAGATTGTTGGGCAATTGGATGTTTTGTTCTAATTTTAATGCCCCCTTCTATGTTATTAAGAATGCAAGTAATTAAAGTATGTTGCCTTTTCTTGTCATTTCACTTACCATAAATTAATTTTCATTCTGGTTTGTAGCGCCCCGTTTATCTAAACAAATCAATAAATATAAGTCACGAGATGATTTGTGAAGAATATTAGAAGTCGAGGGTTAAAAGTGTATGTTAGGGACTTAAATTGAAAGGATTGAAGGCTTAAGGGCTTATTAGTAATTTAGGGATCTATTATGAAAGAGATTTTTGTAGAGTAGGGGTTGATTGGTAAATTTCAGACTTTAATTGTAAAGAATTTCAGAAGATAGGGTTAAAAAGGTAAGTATGTGTTTTATTTTAATACATATATATTTAATAAGTCCTTAATGGGCTAATTAAGAAAAATACTAATATTTGAGAAATTATCAGGACACACACAAGAATTATTTAATATGTGAAATATTAAATAATAATCATTGGTAGAAATTAATCTAAGCAATAATGGACTTAATGGATTAAGTCCTTAGTGGGTTAAGCCCTTAATGGGTTAAGTGAGAAACACTTAACCCTAATTGTCATTTTATGTGAAACCCTAATGTCACATGGGCCTTGAGTTGGGCTTTTCAATTGGGTAATTGGTAATTGGGCCAATAATGGGCCATCCAAGAATGATTATGGACTAGAATATTTAGTTGGGCTTTAGGGTAAGGCCCTAATGAAGGATTGGGCCCAATTTGGAAAATTGGGCTATAGATGGGTTATAGTTTGGGCCTAGATGGTTGTATGATATTGGGCCCTTAGAATGAGACATGTTGGACCAGACTGAGCAATTGGGCCTTAAGGGAAGTCCATGTAGAGGTTTGGGCCCAATTTAGAAAATTGGGCCATATGTTGGGCTTTGATCCCTAGTTGACTTTGGGCCTATGGTTTGGACCTTGGGCTTGGGTAAGCCAAGCTTGGGGTAATGTAGTAATTATCCAAAGTATGTAATTATAGTTATGTAGCGGAACCCAATTATTAATTGGGTGATATTTTGATGTTGACAGATCGGGAATCTATCATCTAGCAGTTGGGGCCGAGTCTGCGGGACTTTAGCAGTGTGGGATTGAGCCTGCGGGACTTCAACAGTGTGAGGTGAGTTTCCTTCCAGTAGGAACGGGTCTAAGGCCGCAATACCGGACCGTTTAATTAGTAGTTAGAATGTTTGATGCAGTAGTTAGAATGTTTGATGCCTTCGTGGCTTAGGCGTTGTATATGTGTTATGTGTTCCGGGCTACGACCAGATGCAGTATGCAGTTTATGTGTTCATGCTAGTTGATATGTTTATGCTATGCAATGTTATGCTCAGTTAGTTTCCGAACTTCGGTCCGATGCATGGGACAAGGTCCCAATCATTCCGGACTTTGGCCCGATGTAATTAGTTCCGAACTTCGGTCCGATGCAGGCGACAAGGTCCCAGTCAGTTCCGGACTTCGGTCTGATGCAGTGGGCAAGGCCCAATACGTGTTTATATGTTATTGTATGGTATGTGGTATTTTGGGGGAGCTCACTAAGCTTCGTGCTTACAGTTTCAGTTTTGGTTTCAGGTACTCAGTTTTCAAAAGAGGAGCTCGGGAAGATTGCAGTGCACACACCATTTGTTCAGCTTGGGATGTTTATACTCTTATATACTTGACAGTTGTTATAATATTTTAAGATACATTGTTTACGATTTTTATATGAGGTTTATTGACTATGGTTTTTATTATTAAATTAAAAGAAATTTTCAGACTGTGTTTTTGGGATGTTATAAGTTGGTATCAAAGCCTTGGTTTGAGGGATTCGGGCACACTTTCGGGTGTGTCTGAACTCAAACTAAGGAATTGGTATAGAAATTTTCAAAAGGAAAATTAGTTTTTGTAAAAAGGGAGTTTTGAGAAAAGAAAAGAGTTTTAGAAAAAGCGAAAAGAATATTTTTAGAAAGAAAAGAACTTCGAAAAGAGAAAAGGGTGTTGTGCATGCAATCATCCGAGCTCAAGTAAGTACTCCCAAATTACCCATACAAATTATGTTATGCTTATCAGTTTCAGTTTCAGTAGAACAACATGCTAGAATAGGACTAAGGATCTAGGAGGATGCCTTATGTGCCTGCTATATGTGTTTCAGCTTTATGAGAATTGCATGCTAGTATTGAGTAGACAGTAGCAGGATAGCATGTTTAGGTTATGCCTGATAGTATGAGCTTAGCATTATATGCTAGTACAATTTCTTGTTATGAGAATAGATTTTCTTGAGTAGTTTCCTGTGTCCGAATCTTTCTTGCTTCGTGCTTTGTAGGACTCGGAGTGATGGGAGTTAGCCATTAGGTGAATACGTCACGTCACATGTGATCAGGGTTTAATAATCTTAGAGTGCTGGATTTGGCCCTATTGTGTAGCTCTTGTTTGAGTCTAACCGTTGTAGGGATGAGTCTTTTACTCGAAGGATTATCTGAGCCTCGTCACATGTGATGGTATTCAGGTGAAGGCTAATTAGCATTACAGGGAGGCCTTCAGCGGTTGAGGACTGGATTGGGTGGAGTCATAGATTTCCCTAGGGCAAGCCTAGGATGAGAGTAGCAGTAGTAGTGACTTGGTGGAGTTGAGTCAGTTCTTGAGGAAAGTACAGATAGATGTGGAAGGTAGTATGGGCCCGTACTACTGAAAGCAGAGGATCCGTACTCGAATCAAGGAAGACTAAGATGAATCTAGGGAACTTGTAGTGTGTAAGATCCCTCGAGTTTTGATGAGCATTGTGATGTCAGTGGTGGTATATTACCGAGTATAGTGACGCTACGTGGTGGACCAGATGGTAGTTCTAGCATCGACGAGGGATCAGGCTAGGACTCTGGAGCCGGGCAGATTGATGATCAGATGAGGGAGTTCATTCCATCCGAGAATTTCGTGCAGTATCATTGACCAGACTCCTATGATCCTCAGTGATCAAGGAGAGCATTATAGAGATTTGTGATGAGAGGTTGAGTGCATTTTGCACTGAAATAACAGTCATGATAGGACCCGTACATTGATGTTTTAGGAATTCTGAGTTTGTGAGGCTTCAGATTGACATGGGGGTTAGGGACCCCATTGTTAGCAGCAGATGGTTGGCAGATGTCGCCAACACTTTTCGTACCAGACGTTGTCTCGAAAGGAGACAAGATCTGACTTACTTCCTATCTCTTAAGGGATCGAGCACGAGATTGATAGGAAGAGGTTGATAGTGAGTTGAGTGATGATGCAGTTGATGCTTTTTCATGGGATGACGTTTAGACCAGATTCTGGGCAGAGTGTGCCCAGGCGATTGAGGTGCAACAGTTGGTGCAAGAGTTTTAGATCTCCACCAAACGACCGAGACTGTGGCAGTGCGCACTGCCAAGTCTTGGGAAAGATCTTATAAGGTACCACGGTATGCATAAGATGAGGAAAATAAGAAGGTAATTTACCAGTACATACTGTAGAATGATAGCAGGGAGATCGTGAGTATCTCGGGGTGCAATTTCTTGGGTACCTTGTCAATCAGAAGGATATTCTAGTTGATCTGGCCAAGATAGAGGCCGTGATGCAGTGGGAAATTTTGAGGTTGCAAATTGAGATTCGAAGCTTCCTGGGTTTAGCGGGTTATTAGCGGAGATTTATTCGGATTTTTAGAAGTTGTGCAATCTCTTGGATTAGCGGGTGATGAAACCCTAGTAATGGTAAGTGTGGTTTTCAGCAGATTAGGCATAGAATGGTAAGAAGGATTGAGAATCCTTCTAGTATTGTGTGTCGTAAGATGTTAGTTGAATCGAAGTGGGGGAGAATCATCCAAGGACTCAGAGGTAGGAGCAATTTTGAAACTGGGATAAGTTTTGCATATTTATTTGGAAGTAAGACAACCCAAGAGGTTGTATGGTTTGAGGATAGTGTGAGATGGAAGTTCGGAAAGAAACTTGCCAATAAGGAGATCACGTTCATGTAATGTTTGCTAAGCAATCCGTAGGGAATCAGGTTAGGGATTCCAGGCAGGACACGAGTTCAGCTGAGTGCGGGTCAAGCGCGTGTTTGATCTAGTATGGAGAGTGTTGTAAGTCTACGGGAGTAGCCATAACATTCACTAGCAGCCAGATAATGGGGTGTTGAAAGTTTGTGGGTGTAGTCGTAGCATTCAATAGATTGGTAGATAGCGTGAGTGCGTTGTTAGGATGCAGAAAGATAAGTAGTACCCACCAGTTCAGGTGTAGTAGTGAGGAGATGGAAATCCTCATATTGGATTTTGGAATTACCCAAACGGGCTAGACCTGGTTAAGCCAATGATAAGATTGTAGAAGCGCCACTACAGAGATGATATCTAGGAAGCAGTGGACTGCTTAAGGTCATTGCAACATAAGGCTACCAAGGCTAGTATAACAATCCCTCTTAGCTGGGATTGGTAATGTCGGGATCTGACATATGGAGTTAATCAGTTAATTCAGAAGGCCACTAGAGCCACAGTGAGAAGATAGCTAGTAGCAGCCTGTTTCAGAGGAGGATTTCGTTCCGAAGTCGTGCGTGGAGACTAA